ATATTCCTCAAAAAATGTGAGAGGTACAAAACGTAGGGTGTAGATATCTGTTGGAACGAGTAGGATTTCGATACACAGAAACCTCGAATCCTAGCGATAGTGTTTTCCTATTAGCACATCAATGGATGGTACTGTCGGAAGCACCTTCCCGTCGCTAGGAAACCGTATTCGACGGTTTATGTCTGTCAATTCATATATTTGGAGAAAAGTTATAACTATTGCTTCGATGGAATGGCACGAAAATGTCGTCGACGAATGGCGTATAGAACAACGGTGAATATTCTATCTGGCAATCTCTGAGGGCCTTTACCTTCAGGTGATCGCAGCAGAAATCAGTCAATAGAACGCTTATTGAAGAGCCCATAGGAACGCTGCATGTCTGGTTGTGAACGTAGTACGCCAATGTTGCAGTCAGTAAACACGCTTTCCGATGTCTTCCATTAATTTGACGTGATCTTCAGGATGCCAGGAACGATATCGGCCAGCTTAATGGTATCCACTTGCCATAAAGGTCAGCAATGCCCAGGGATACAGTGAAAAACAATCTCGACCTTGATGCGCACACAGATCTTTCTGTATTACTGACGTGATAATCCTAATATCCGCCTTAGAAACTTTCGTTATTCCTTATTTCTGGAAGGTTTCGCCCGAACTGACAGTCGGAAATCTGCATTGTTCAAACTAATCCGTGACATTTGCATCTTTTCCAGCGAAGTCTCTAGCAGTTTCAACAGTAACTGACGATAGTGAAAAGAGGGTTGGCATTTCTTTGTAGCTGAGTGCATAACGCATTTCTGAGGTGTTTCAACATTTTTGTCTCATGATTTTCTTCATCTGTCTTCATTCTCTTTCTGGTTTAAAATGGCAGAAGTCGCAACCTCAGTCATGAACGATATAAAGATTTCATCGCACGTTCTTTGGTGATAAATGTGACAGTAACACAGGCCTTAAGTCAGGGTGCATGTTCAGAACATCCGTTCATAAGAAACTGCATAATGCCCCAAATATGTCTGTCTCCGGATTTCATGGCAGGCATTCAGATACACTCTCACAAATAGGGCGAATACACTCGACTTACAGTATCGTTACAGTACCGCTGACGCTACCTAACTACAGTGCTGTTGCTGTTTTGTCATCGTCGTCTGAGATTAACAGAGTTTAAACAGCAGTGTAACTCAGATTTAATCCAGATTTATGATGTCAAATCGTCAAAAATGGTTCCTTAGATTCACACTAGGAAACTTCACTGCTGTGACAGGAGGCCATACTCCTCTCTGAAAGCAGGCTTGCCTCAACGAGGATTTTCATGTTTTGCATTGTCTTCCCACGCGTCCGCGACCAATGTGCGATTCCCAAGAAAGAAATGAATGTATTGTATATATTTCCATTCTTTATGTGTTTTTCTACCGAACCAAGCCAAACTTCGGTCCTTGAGTTCATCTGATGGTTTTATCAGATAGGCGGTCGTCAGCGCCAGCTCGCTCATGACCCAGTAGCACCTTTGCAAACAGCTTTGCTAGAAGATGTCTAAACGAGTTTCATGATGCTTCAGGATGGCAGGAGTTATGAGAGGGTACATGAGCACCGCGATTGAGGCTGCTTTTAGAATGGTGATCTTCGTGTCAGTTCGTGCAGTTTGATTCTTCGATATGTTATACAGGTTGCCATAATTTGCTGATGCAAGTCTGATACGCCGATTCACTTCCGAATCATTGCCGCCATCGTTAGTCAACACAGTTCTTGGGTAGTCAAAACTTTCTGGTCCATTTCGTTCATCGCAATATCATTCCATAATATCCTTGGATCGCCTTCAGGCAGCGATCTCAATCAAACCGTAGAACAGTAAATTAATGATCGAATTGGAAAGAAAACAACTATCTGAAAGAAGAAAATAATTCATGACTAGACAACGGTTAAAACTGTATGCTACTTTCCAGAGAAACCAGATGGCTCCCTGTACAAGAGAAACGTTACTTCACTCACACAGGAAAAAGTTGGAATGCATATCACACTAACTGCATCCGTGGGAAGAAGGGTTACTAGGAAATATAGGAGGCACATTTGGGAAAGTGGAGCAAAGCTCAAAGATGATATGGCAATGAGTGGTGTCGTAATAGAGTTATTTGAAATGGCTGCCGTGGCAGAGCGCATATTGCTGAAGAAGCAAGTTATCCAACGAAACGTGAACGGAATAGTCAGAAAGAAGCCAACTGGAGAAAGAGGCTAATATTGGAAGCTATCACAACAAAACGCACACTCAGCAAAATAAATAAACAGTGAGGAACCTAAGCAATCGGCGCAACGGGTTAATATTCCCTCGCCGTGGTACTTGCTAATTAATTTTCTCATCGTGCACTACGGGAACCATTATAACTTTACTTCAGAATTTGTACTCCACACTCCTTTATCTTCATCTTTTTCATCTTCCATCGCCGCTTCTCCTTTCGGGTCGCGGAGGCAGACACGTCAGACAGTGCTTCCAACGT